TTATTAATTCAATTAAAATTTTTAAAAATTAAAATTGAAAATTGAAACTTGAAAATTGAAAAATTAAAGTTGAAAATTACTATAATCATTATATGCTAATATTAATTCTTAACAATTCTTAACATTAAATATAATGAAATTATATTTAATAATGCGTTATAGTTGATTCGACTGTAGAAGCGATTTTTCACTTTGTATTATTGCCATGCAATACAAAAGCAAAATAGATATAAAACTAACTAGTTCTGTAATTTATTTTTCGAATTGATATTTCGATGTATTTGATACAAAATTTTGGTAAAAATTATATAGAAATTTTCTATGCCCCTTCGTTTGGGTGATTACATATCTCAAGTTTTTTGAAAAATATATAATTATATTTTCACTTTTGTACGTTTTTGATATTATATATTATCAATGAAAAATATATGTAAATATTACTGTAATATATGAAGTATGCTAATAGTTATAAAGAAATGTAATTTAAATCTAATAGTTATAAAAAAATATAATTAATAGGTAAATTTCCAATGTGATGTTTAAATAAGTGTAACATTTATGTGTTATAAATATCATAATGTATCATTTATTATGCTAAGCTGCAAAGAAAATTTCAAACATTTGCAATAAGAAAAATTTATCTTATATATTTTTTTGCAAAAATGTAAATACTGTGCATTTTATTAAATAAGTTATATGAAATAGGTATGTGCATTGTGCTTTACTTTGTATAAAATTTATATTACAAATAAATATACCAATGTATTATATAAATACGCATATATGTATATATAGATATAATTTTTTTTCATATTTATGTGCCATTTTGCTTAATTAATACTATAAAAAAATTTTTATTTGTAAAAAACACTATAATTTTATTAATACTAAAATATTAAAATAATTTAAATAATGTCAAAAGAAATAATAATGAGGTGTGAAAAATTCATTAAATAAAATAAACATTCTCTGAAGTTTTATTTATTGTTTATATTAATAGACTACATTATTACAATATTTTATGTAAAATATGTTTATATACAAATATACAATATACAAAAGGCACAATATATCTACATTCTTTAGATCATGTACAAAAAATACAAATAAAATTTGAATATACAAGTAATTATCAATAACAATAAAACAGTTCCATTGTCGTTCATTATAAAGTAAAAATAAGATTTTAATTTTTCAGAAATATTGCGCTTCATATATAAAGTATTTAAATATCTTCAGCAAATATTTTGCAACATATATATTTGTTTTTATCAATTTATTAAAAATTGTTCTACTTTAATCAACATTTATGATATACATCTGCAATTTTTATTTAAATAAATTTTTTATCTATAATGAGAATTTATGCATACCATTCTTTTATAAATCATCATAGTTGAAAATGCAATTAAATGCTATTAACTAATTTTTTTTAAACGTAATTTCTAGTAATGAACATTTTAATAATTTCCATTAGATTGCAAGTATTTTTGCGTATTATTATGAATAATATTATGAATAATTCAATTAAGAAGATAAATATGTAATAAATATGTAAATAAATTTCATAAAGATATAATTAACTACACACAAAGCTACCTTATAATTTCTTGTCGTTGTAATTATTATTTATTATACGAATGCATTTTCATGATTTGAGAATGTAGGTATGCATGTAAAAGTACCTAATGTAAATATAATTACAAATCATAATAGGTTGTTCTATACACGCGCGCATGTGCAAAACATTATTGTATTATCATTAACAATATAAAAATTATAGAAAATGTAAATTTCATTTTTTTCATATAAATTGAAATGTATAAAATTAATTCATTTGAATAGATTAAAATAATATCTCTGCATTTCTAAGATTATAAAAATCATTTTCTATTTAGTTCTTACGAAATTCTATCACAAAGTTAATTATTATATTTTTCTCAGTCCGCATTATATTTTATTAAACATGTCACATGTATGATTCGCGGTATTTTGTTATTTTTTTTATTACTATACAACAATTTAGAAGAAAACTTGCATGATACATAAATGCAAAATAATTGATATAAAATACAAAATTTGTCATTAATATTTTTTTTATATTTCAAATGAATTTATAAAGAAATATATCGAAGTTTTTATTATTTAATTAAATGTATATCATTTCAAAATTGTATATATTATGAGAAGTTCAAATATCATGAAAATTTTCTATAAAATTTTATATATTATAATTATACAAATTCACAGAATTTTTAATTGATGAAATATCAAGAGTATATTCTTCTATAAAATATTTCTATAAATAATTGTTCTCAATGAATATCAATTGATAAGTTCTACATACAAAGAGACATTTAAATTGTATAAAACCATATTTTAAATTTGATAAAACAATGCTCTTTTGTAATCGAGCAATAATTATATTTCTATATTATAAAAATGTAATATAATTTAAAAATACTCTAATATTAATTAAAAAACCTGATTATCTTTATAGGAATGTAAAATTGTCAGTTACGAAAATATACCAATCAAATTTTACATTAACTTCGCATAATACAAATTATACAATAATTTCATTTCTTAATAATTTGTATTGCTATATTATATCTAAATTCTTTCTTTTTTTTTTTTTATATATATATACAAACATAACAAAATATTAATTTCAATTAACTTCAGAAATAAATGATTTATGATGTATAATCTTCTTAATATCTTGAACTTCCAGTTTTTTTTTTTTTTTTATAAAACATAATCAAAACAAAGATTTTATGTAATAAAAGAAAAATATGAAATAATTGTATACATATGTATATGTATGTTTTTAAAAATGGATATATAAAGTTAGATGTTATTAAACTAGTGGAAATAAATTATATAGACATTAATTAGTTTTAAAACTCTTTGGTTTCACTATAATAATTATTACATAAAATCCTTGGTTATAGTACTGCTTGTAATTGTTTTTCCAATTGAAAAAGTTATTCTCTACTATTAGAAATATTTTAATTACTTAATTTTTATAATGAAACATTTTAATCAATTGTTTATCTTCATTTTTGGTTTAATTATTTTTTTCTAATTATTTAAAATGCTAATACAATGTTACGTAATTTATAAAATATATATAGAAACAAGTATGTATTTTTACAAAAAAAAAATGATATGGTATTAAGCCATATGTTTTTTATAAATTTATTAAGCATAATTTTTGAAATTTGTCCAAGTAAAAAATCAATTTTATTTCAATCTTTATACGTGAAAAATAATACTGATTAGAATAATTTTTTCTTGAAAAGAAAATATTGATTATCATCATTATTAGAACCAAAGAAGAAGAGAACAAAATATTGCTCAATTATTCAACGAGAACTAAAACATCAATTATTATGATTTTTTTGTGTAAAATTTGTACACAATTTATTATAGAAAATACTGAAAGTTTACAATACAAATTGAAAAATTTATACAAAAAAGTAATGAACGAATAAAACTACATTAATTTATATATTGATTGCTCTTTGTTTTTTTCTCAATTTGTGATAATAGAACAAAATTTTAATTTCGGAAAATACAAGATAAAAAATCAAAAATATAAAAGTACAAAAAGTTATTGAAATGTTAGAATACTGTATATAATTTTTTAATCAAATTAAGAGAAAAAAAAATATATAAAAATATTAACAAATTTTGCAAACAGTAATTTGAACACAAACTGGTTAGTTTCATTTGGTTTATATGGCTTGGATCTAGTATTTGGTTTTCTTGTTATTAATGTTCAGTGTTAACAAAGATATATTTTCAAAGATAGATTAATTAATAATTAATCCTAAGTATATAATAAATTACTTTTATGTTTATAAATACTGGTTACTTAACCAGTATTAGTATTATATGATTTAATATAAAAAAGAAGCACTGGATTAAATATCTGTACAAAATAGAAAAATCTTAGCTAAACTATTAGCAAACTGATCTTTTTTTA